TTCACAAGGAAATCTCATTCATCAAGAGAATATTGAACTCAATAAGAAGATAATTCTTGAAACATAAGAAGGGAAAAAAGAGATTGACTTCTACAGCCTCTATCTCTTGAAAATCCTCCACCATGGTCAACCATTATGCTCTTAACCATTACATGAACCCCCTTGAACAACTTGTTAATATCAACTAATTAACAGTAGAGCAATAGCATATATGAACTAATACCAAAATCAGGTAAACACAATGCAATGGAACTTGAATTTTAACTCTTAACCAAGTAATTACAATACAAAATCAGCAAGTATATTAGTTTCAAGCACAAAACAACAGAAATGGAATGAACAACACCCAAACAATGAGTAGAACTCCTAAAGTAGAAATCTTGGAGTACAAAATCAGGTTTAGTATTTTGCTTCTCAGGCTCAAAAAAAATAGAAGAGCTCTTCGGTGGTGACACAACAAATTGAGGAGAATCCATGGCAAAAATCAGATATTAAACCTGAAAAAGAACCAAATATCAATATTATAATCGAAACTCGTAGTCTATGTTGCTAAATCATAATAAGTACTACGAGCAGTAATCACTGTTCAAGATTAGAAACTTAAAGCCCTCGCCCTCGAGTAAACAACGAATCCACATTTCAGAAAGCCACAAAAACAGAGGTGGAATCAGCCAAGAAAACATATGAATACATCAAGAACCTAAAAGCCACAGCTCACGATTCCTAAGATATATGTAATTAAACATGAATACATCAAGAACCTAAAAGCCACAGCTCTCAATTCCTAAGATATATGTAATTAAACACTACCACGATAGCCAATAACTCAAACCAAGTATTGAATTGAAATATAAATCATATTCTCCCATTCTGAACATTACAAATAAGGTTATGCATAATTACAGAACATGCTAAAAAATTCGGGAGATTTGGGTGGAGGGAGGGGGGAAAAACTAAAGCCTTACTATCCAAAACGCAAGTGTCAAATTCAGTAGCAATAGCAAAAAAAAAAATCTTGATCAACCCATAAAACAGAGCACAAATTGAAATAGTTCGTTTGTTCAAGAACCTAAATGGATACCTTTCAAATGCTCAAACTGAAAAGGAAAAATACCTCCACCTTAGAAACAGATAGAACCCATCTACAGTTAATCGAGTTTCCTATAAAGCTAAGTCCTTTTCATGCTTAAGAACAGTATCACAATTCACAGATCTAAATAGAGCAAATTCAAGTTCAATTCAATCAAGAAAAAGTAACAGAGAAATCAAATCAACACAAAAGATAAAGCAAAAAAGGTTTTTAAAACATACAGTTCCTTTTCAATCAATTTTTATCAATCACGACCCATATTACATTTTACCTGTGAATTCGTCAAGGTCTGGTTGAAATTGGGCTTGACCCATGGTTTAGGAAGATGCATCAGGGGGAGAAGAGACCAACCTACGTGGTCCGCGACCATGGGTTGATCGGACGGCGCCAGAAATTGAAAAGTTCGGACGCTGTGTTGAAGGCTATGCGACTGGAGTTTCTTGAGTTTAATTCAGGATGTTGAAGTGTTGTTTGGAGTAAATTGATTCCATGTATAAAGTCATCTGAGGATGGGCAATCGATCGGTGGTAGTGCGCGACCTTGGCCATCACTGGAGATGGAATTTCCGAAAGAAACAATTGCGCATATTGGTTTTTTGGGTTAAAATTTCTGCTAAATATAATGTTTTTTGGGCTGATTGTTGGTTGGAATTTGTAGAAGGCAGTGAAGTGATGCTATTGGTGGTCGTTTCCGGTGGGTATAGTGACCAGAATGTGGAGGAGTGAGTCTCCATAGATGGCGGCTCAGGAAGGGGAAAACATGGGTCATGCTTCCATTTCCGCGTTTTGGCCTTTTTTGCTTGAAAATGCTCAAAACGTCATTTTTGACGTTTTGAGTTTCCAGTTCAATTTTTTTTTTTTTTTTTTTCAAAAACGAGTTTTCAAAAATAGAAAAGAGAACGCGTTTTCATTGTTTTGGAAAATCGAAAACAAAAAACGATCCAAAACGGCCAAAGAGAACACCACCTAAGTGGTTATATGTAGAATAATAACAAATTTACCATTTTACACTGTTGAAATTCGGTCAAGACACCTTTTTCGGTCAAATGTGCTAATTTTTCAAAGGTTCTGGACCATTGGTGGTACAAATTGAAGGTTAAAGTAAAGTCTGCAAATGACTCAAAGATTTGGAATCATTGTTGCAAATTTTCCAATTTTTTATTTTTATGAAATTTGATTAAAATTTAGTTGATGATTTATATAATGCACAAAATAATAACTAAAGAGGATGCCACCATGGGGGTCGAACCCACGACGACAAGG